GATGACAGATGTAGTAGGACACGCCGAGGAGCCGCAGAGCTTGTAGCCGGAGAGAGGGTCGTCGTCGGCGTTGCTATCCGAGCTCGATGGGGACGCCATTGGAGGCTAAAATTAGGGTTAGGGTTTTGGGGGAAATTTTAGGGTTTGAACTTTGAAGGACGTTGGGGATTGGGGATTTTGGAGGGAGGAAGGGTGGTTTCCGGGGAGAGAGAGAGAGAGAGAGAGATTTCGGTAAACGGTTTGGATTGGTCCGGGATATCACATTAATATTCATCACAAAAATCAGTAAATATTTTTTATTTTTTCTTCCTCTTTATTTTGTATATTTAAGGCTTCTATTTCTGTTTACTCTCTAAACTATTAGGCTTATCATTTTTGTCCCTCCTGAACTATATTTTTTTTATTTCATCTTACCTAAACTATTAGTTCAATCCACACTTACTTCTTGAGCTATTTTCAATTTCATTTAAATCTATATATAATTTCATTCTTATCTATTTGAGCGATCACTTTCCTCTTATAATTTCATCCCCATCTATTTGAGCTATCAATATCCTCTAATAAATCTATTTAAAACCAGTCACAAACTAATAGTATGAAAAGTGATAACTAGGAAAGTAATAGTTTAAGAAGTATGGCGGAATCAAAATACTTCAGAGGGGTAAACATGAACAAATTTCATTGTCCCGAGGTAAGTTTGGACTAATATGACGGAAAAAATTTTAATAGTTCGGGGACACGCGGCATCTGAAGCTTGAAAACTTTTTTTTTTCTCTCTTCAATTTTATTGTCAGGAGTCCTTTTTTAACTATCATCCTCATAGAAAAGTATTCACTTGTGATATTTTTGAAACATTATGTATTATATAATAATGCATACCTCTTATATCATGCATTAATGTAGTATGTTACGTAAATGAGTTGACATCGTTGTATCATATTTTATTTTACTCGGGTTGTTAGTTTACATTTAAAAAAACTTGACTTCTCCCATTTGTACCGAGGAGGAGATGTAGTAAAAAGTAAATGAAGTCATACCCGGCCCATAATTAAGCTCTGCAAGCAAAGTTGGGTGGGAGCTCTTTTTTTGATCGGACCAGTAATTTTCTTTTGGGCTGAGCTAAAAGCCACAGGCCTGGCGAAAAAAGGGGTTTTTTTTTTTTTTTTGTTTCTTTGTTTCAGCTCCAAGGCAAATCTTTTTCTGTCGAGAACAGACGCAAAAAGAGTCTCTCCTTTTTTATATTTTTTTCATTAAAAACTGGTCGGAGAAATTTTTGAGGGAGGGGATGGCGAGAGACAGCTGCTTGGCTCGCATCGCAGCAGGTGCTGCTATTGGCGGTGCCGTCGGCGGAGCAGTTGGTACTATCTCCTCCTCTCTATTTCAAAACCCTAAACCCTAATTTAGCCTCGTTTTCATGAGTTGGGTTTTCTAGATCTTCTGTAGCTACCATGATTGGATGAAAGTTTGGATTTTTGGAAGGGGCGCTTCTTCAATGGTGAAACGAAGTGATTAGGGTTTAGGAAGTTTGTGCTTCTATCTGTAGAGATAGAGGCTAGGTACTTTTTCCTCTGTTTTTTAATTTATTTTAAAATATTTGATTTATGTTCAACAAGATGGCTTTTTTTTTCGGTCTCTTATATTTAGAACTAGTAAAACAATAAGAAATAATCAACTGCACCAGATAGATATATATTTATTAGAATCCATGAAAACTGTCCAGCTAAATATCAGTTGTTCTAATAGTTACAATCTTTTTCTCTTCAAAATCAAGTCAAGATTTTGTTCAATATATGGAATAGTTCCCTTTACTATCATTTATGAGCACTATTGATTTCGGTGCACGACTTTGGTACTTTATGTAAGACCGGTGAGTATGACCATACGAAGTCTCTTAAAGAAAATGCTGCTTTACTTTTCCTATACCTCACATAATGCACTTGCAGAGTTGCAGTAGTCCTTGTCATCCATCTACACCTCATTAGTTTATACAAGTTTCAACTAAGTACATATTCTCTTTATATATCTCATTAAGTAACCACGAAGCAAAATTGCTTATTCTAAAAGATGGAGGAAAAACTAAGTAATAGCATAAGTCGATAATAGTTTAATGCCTTCAAATAATGTCAACACCTATGAAAGAACTGACAAACAGCTTCATGCACCTTTGTTTAACTTATTTGCTTATATAATCGTTTTAGATTAGAGGTTATAGTCTTGAAGTTCAGCCAACTGACCCTTTTATGAACATTGCAACTATTAAGTCCTTAGTGTAGGCATCGAAAATTGCCTATAGGTCTCCACAAACGGTTCAGCGTTAACGAGCTACGATGAACATCACCATCCGATCCACATGAGCCTAATCGACGTCGACGAACGACTGAAGTGAATCGACGAGCTACATGAGCGGATAGGACTTCGGAACTACGAAGACCCGGACCAATCGGGAACCCGGCGGTGTTCACAAAAAGGACAACGTCCTTCGTGCCTCGACCACTCTACAGATAATCCAACCACCAGAGCGGATCGAACTCTTCGTCAGGCATCCAACGCACCCGGAATCACTCAAATCCGAGTTCGGACGAAGAATCTACGGGGAAAACAACTCAAACACCTCAACGGGTCTCCGGAATTCCAAAACACCCCCAGGGGTGTCTCGGAAATCCCGAGACACCCTAGGGGTGTCTCGGAAAATCCGAGACACCCCTAGGGGTGTCTCGGATTTCTGGAGACACCCCAGGGGTGTCTCGGATTTCTGGAGACACCCCAGGGGTGTCTGAGCCCCCTACCTACCCCCTACCTACTCCTAAACACTATAAATAGCCCCCTTGGGCCTTTGGAAAAGGGGAGGATTTTTGGAGAGCCTTGGCGAAGCCCTGCTGCAGTGAAGAGTGCCCGTGTGCTTCAACAAGGAGAGGAGAGTTCTTCATCAGAGCCTTCATCACCCGTTCCCCCTGATCCTTAGTATTAGCCTTTAGCGTTAATACTAAGAAGAGCTAATACCTCGCTTTAGCCGAGGTATACGCTTATAGCTTCTAGATCTCACGCGGATCGACGAAGCTCTGTCCGATATTTCTGGATCAGAAAATTTCTAGATCTCACGCGGATCAACGAAACTCTGTCCGATTTATCCGGACCAGATCTGAGTGCCCCGGTGGTCCACGGATATCAACATCCCCGTCACAGGCCAAAGACCCACGCAAGCGAGACCGCAGACAACAGTTCAAAGAAGGCCTCTTTTCCTCCTCCTCCAGATCCGCCTCTCCAAACGGGTACAGAAAGGTAACCTCTTTCAGAAATGTTTGCAGGTCCTTCGGCTCAAAAATCCAAGACCCCGTTGCCGCCGCTGCACTTACGCCACGTGACGTCCCCACGTCGTCCAACATGGTCGAGATCGCAGATCCGGACTCCTCCTCTGCACTTGCACCACGTGACATCTCCGCGTCGTCCAACGTGGTCGAGATCGCAGATCCAGACTCCTCTTCCGCCGAGGAGATGGCTTCTGAAGACGCTCCCGCAGTGTCAAAGAGAACACGACAAAGACAACGTCAACGTCTTGCTCGTCAGCTGGCCGAGGCTTTGGAGCCAATGGATGAGATCCGCTATAACGTGGATCCAAAATCCAGGCAACGCCGGGAGCAACCACGGCAAACAACCAGCCCCTCCTCCGAAGCAGAAACAAACAAATGGGTTCATGTCAAAAGAACCCGTTCTACTCTCGAGGAGCGAATCCAGAAGCGCCGCGCCTTGCGTGCGCATGCCCGAGCCCTGGTCCAAAAAGCACGAGAAATGCTAAAGGGAGAGGCCGTTAAGAGATCGCCGAGATCCGAACGAGTTTGGATGCCGAAGGCCAAATCAACGCCTAAGGTAAAAGCAGGTAATATTGCTCTCCAACCTTCATCAATTTCAGATCCCGAACCTCTGGAAAAGCCCCACCGCAGCGCGGATTTCCCCAAGTTCAAGAATCCTCCGAAGGATCGTATCGGTACTCTACCCGAGAATCGAGGAAAAGCACTTGTCAAAGGGAGCTGGAGATCGCTGAAGGAGTTTCAAGCTAACACCCAGACCGGGAGTCGTACACGACCTCCTAACAAATCGATCTCTGCAACAACCCGCTTGGCGATGTGTGCAGAAAATCAGGAGCCCGTTAAGGTTTCACCCTCGCAAAGGTGTGATTCCAAACGTGTGACTCCTGTAAAGGCCAACAAGGCAATGTCTACTCAGAAGAAGACGCGTCGGACAGACGAATGCGTTATACCTGAGAACCCATGTGAGTAGCCGATAGGTTACTCTGACGGCAACGTCAGTGAGTTGTACTATCAGACTGGGGGTATGAATGAATCTCAAAAGAGAAACACCCGGAAAGCGGATTCTCACTGTCCGTGTACCAAATTCATCAGGGCAGTATTATCAGCCTGTAGCTGCCCCAAGACCGCTCCACACAGGGTCTCGATATTCGAGGGAATTTCCGATGGAATGATGAAGCCCAAATCAAGGCATTCCCACCAAAGAGGATCGGCTGCTCGAGATGATGAACTCCTAGAAGTTACCATCAACACGGTCAACAAGGGAAAATCTCCAATTGTTCCAAATGATTCTGACCCTAATTTCTCTCCAAGAAGCGGAGTCAATTCGGGAATGGCTCAGCTTCAGATAGAAGCTGTCGGATATGACAATTCCCGTGGGATCCATGAAGGAGTCCATTCCGATGATGCACTCTCGGATTCCTATTCCGCCCTCGCTTCTGATGACACAACGTCTAGCATAGGGCAAGCTCGAGAGGTGGTGGTCGAAATCGTCATGGCCAACGCACCACCCAAGAATACTGGGGGTGGCCCCACTAAAATTAACAGCGCTGGGGGTGGACCCACCAGTGATGATAGCGCTGGGGGTGGACCCACCAGTAGTGACAACACTGGGGGTGGCCGTATGATTCCTCTCGAAACTTATCCGAAACAGGATATGGGTGAGGCCGAAAAGATAAAGGAGCTCGAAAGAAAAATCGACGCCCTGATGTCTACTCGAGAGGTGAAAGGACCGGCATTCCGTGTCCTTATCCGAAAAAGTGGGATTCGATCCCGTATCCGGCGAAGTTCAACCTGATCAACTTCACGCCGTTCGGCGGGAAGGGCTCGCCCACTCAGCATCTAATCTACTTCAAGTCTCACTTGGGGGTGATTTCGGGCAACGAGTCTTTGATGGTACGGTCATTCGTTGGCACCCTTCGCGGGCCCGTCTTCGATTGGTACCGCCGTCTCAAGCCCGGAAGCATCAACAGCTGGGAGGACCTGGAAAGCAAGTTCCTCGCCCAATTCTTTGATGATGACACCGAGGTGTCGATCAGGACACTCTTCGACGAGAAACAAAAAGGCGGAGAGTCGGTGGATACCTTCATCAAACGCTTCCGCAATCAGGCAATGAACTGCAGGGATCCCGTCACGGAGGAATTCATCTTGCAGACTTGTCATAACAACTTGTCCGTTAACATCTTGGATGTTATGGGAATGGAGCCGCTCAATACCTGGAAAGAGTTGAAGGCTCGAGGAGAACAGGCTGAACGCTTCATCAGAAGGCGGAAGGTCGAGAGAAACCAACCAATGGTTAATCCTCTGAATTCGGATCTCGTACCTCATGATGAAGGGGACGTGCCTGCAACAGTTATTGACGATAATCAAACGTCACAACAACAGTCCTGGGAACAACAGGAGAATTCAGACGAGGAGCTCCAAAACGAGTACTCGTTCAAAGACGAAGACGTTCCAGCTATCTTCGAGACCCTTCTCGAAAACAACAAAATCAAACTCCCCCCCATCACGCATCAGGAAGAAGATGATGATTCTGCGGATCCAACGTACTGCGAGTACCACAGAAGGATCCTCCATCCTACCAAGGATTGCTTTGCTCTCAAGAATAGCATTCAGACCTTGGTTGAAGCCGGCGTCATAACGCTAGGGTAAGCCAATTGAGAACGGCAAAACTCCGACGAGTATACGAGTATAAACTGCTTCTCAACACTCCGACAAGTATAAGAGTATAAACTGCTTCTTGACACTCCAAAGAGTATATGAGTGTAAACTGCTTCTCAATCCTCCGACCGGTATAAGAGGTTAAACTGCTCCATGATACTCCAAGAGGTATATGAGTCTAAACTATTTCCTACCATTGACGGGAAGTTCCTGGAGGATATTACGCTAATATTCTTAAGGATAACCCGGTCGGATAACAAAATCAAACCCAGTTCCAAGAGAGAAGCTGGGGGTGGATAATCCAATGCATCGGGAAGTTCCCGAAAGAATACCACAGGGGTATTCTTAGGGATAACCCAATCATTGTGGAATTGGTGAACAAGAAATTCACATTCAAACTCTAAAAGTCAGAATGTCCCTTCTTATTCCCTAACTCTTATGAGTTATTTTTGTGAGAAGAGATCCAATCCTCTGATAGGTTAATATTTCCTCACCAAACCATCCACTGATCAAATCAAACGACAGTGGACCCAGTAACCAAACCTTCCGACAGTTAGGGTTATCCGAATCTTTTCGATTCTCGGAGTGGAGATCCCACTCCTAGTTTCACCATTCTGGATTCTGGGGGTGGAGATCCCACCCCAAGTCTCCTTTCCGGCCGAAGATAGAATATAAAATTCTTCCTCTTCAGCACCGGGAGATAGAATATAAAATTCTTCCTCTCCCGTTTCTCAATCTGTCTTTGCTTTTAGAAAAGACACGATTGTCAAATCCGGGCACTCGATGCACGGGGAATTTTATCCCGAAGCCTGAGTAGGGATAAGTCAACGCCTAACACGCGTTGCCGGGTAGTCTATTCCCGTGAGAAAGACGAAGTCTATGTATTCAAAATCATAGCATTAAGTCTAAGAGAAGCAATTCTCTTAGCACAACGTTACATGTGAAACGGGTTTTAATAATTCACATGCTAGCCCGATTCAAACGGTAATCGGTAAAGGCACATCAAACCCGTTGATGGCTGGGGGTTTGCCAAAAATCCCAAAGTCTATGTCTAACACGCATTGCCGGTTAGTCTTTGACCGTAAAAAGGACAAAAGACCACATATTCAACATTGTGGCAGGTTGTTATTAATAACACCATAATCCGTGCCTCACACGCACGGGGAATTTTATCCCGAAGCCTAAGTAGGGATAAGTCAACGTCTAATATACGTTGCCAGGTAGCCTATTCCTGTAACAATGGTGAAGTCTACGTATTCAAAGTCGTAGCATCAAGTCTAAAGGAGTTTATTCCTTTAGCGCAACGTCACATGCGGAACGGACTTAAAACAATCCGCATGTAAGCCCGACTCAAACGTCCCGTAACAATGGCGAAGTCTACGTATTCAATATCGTAGCACTAAAAGGGTTAACTCTTTTAGCTTAAACGTCACATGGGAGCGGACTTAAACAATCCGTATACTAGCCCGACTCAAACGGTAGTCGGTAAAGGCTAATCAAATCCGTTGAAGGCTGGGGATTAGCCAAAAATCCTAAAGTCAACGCCTAACACGCGTTGCCGGGTAGTCTATTCCCGTGAGAAAGACGAAGTCTACGTATTCAATATCGTAGCACTAAGAGCGTTAACTCTCTTAGCACGACGTCACATGCGGAACGGACTTAAACAATCCGCATGCTAGCCCGACTCAAACGGTAGTCGGTAAAGGCTTGTCAAATCCGTTGATGGCTGAGGATTTGCCAAAAATTCTATAACTGCGAGTCATTGACGCATCAACTCCACTAGTTGGTCTCGTAGCTCGAGCACCCAACAAATTCAGGATAAAACCCACAGATGCAGATGAATCAGCTTTAACAGTTGGTCCTGCGGCCCTGACATTTGAGACCGTTATGCTCCAATACCTTAAGAGTTTAAACTGTGTATACTCCAGCAAACCCCTCCATAAATTCTAGTTTGGTCTCCACATGCCTTTATCAAAATTTGGATCACGAATTTGTGGTTTAAACTCCTTGGATTTCGGCCATAAATTCGCTGCCCTTTTGCAAATAAACCCCTCTAAGACACTTATGGGCTATTTTGCGAATTAACCCCTCAACAACTCTTGCATAAAGCACCCCCTCACTTCTCCTAACCAAATGGACATGAATCCAAGCTTCAAAATTTCAGTTTCATCTTTGCATACAAGCCCCCACGAATTTCAGTCCTATTTTACAAATAAAACCCCAAAATCCGAACTCCTCTTAAAGGGTTGATGGGTTCTTGAAAACTAATCAATGGAGGACAAAAAAAAAACTTGGGGAAGAAGAACACACAAAACCGAAAATGAGGGGGAAAGAATTCAGTTCTCTCTTATTTTTTAAAAGAGGGGGGGACCATAAGCAAAAGACAAAAGAGGAAAAGGCCAAAAAGGAGGGGGGACCACGAAAACCCAAGACACCCCATGGGGTGTCTCGGCAAAACCGAGACACCCCAAGGGTGTCTCGGCTTTGCCGAGACACCCCAAGGGTGTCTCGGCTTTTCTCGGCAAAGCCGAGACACCCCAGGGTGTCCGGGTTTTGTCGGGACACCCCCGGGGCGTCTTGAGTCTGTTTTGACCCCCGAACCTTGCATGGACACCTAAATTGTTTTTCTGAACTCCAAATCACTCCGATTCTTCGCCAACGGTTGAATATTGATGAACTCCAAGAGTCAACCTTTGACGAATCAAAACCCTAAGGGTCAACGCGTAACCCTAGGTCAACCCCACTCAACGGGTTGTGAGCAAAGTCAACGTTCGACAATCAAAACCCTAGGGTAGACGCCGGTCAACGCGTAACCCTAGGTCAACCCCACTCAACGGGTTGTGAGAAACGTCAACGTTCAACAATCAAAACCCTAGGATAGACGCTGGTCAACGCGTAACCCTAGGTCAACCCCACTCAACGGGTTGTGAGCAGAGTCAACGTGTGACGATTCGAAACCCTAAGGGTCAACGCCGGTCAACGCGTAACCCTAGGTCAACGCCGGTCAACGCGTTGCGACAAAAAGTCAACACACGGTGATCCGAAACCCTAAGTCAACACGATGTGACGGAGGAAGTTCAAAGTCAACTCAATGACACGAACCAAATTCAATTCATCAGTTCAGACTCGGGACTCCGACGACGGCCAAACGATAAACGCAGTGCCGGAAGAACTTCGGCTATTCGTCAAAGCATCGAATAAGACCGAAAATCGAAGGAGCCAAGAGTTGAAGTTAATCACAGGTCCTTAGGCCGACTGAAGGCTAGACCAATCACATCCAAAGTATTCCGGCCTCTTCTATAAAAGAAACGAGTCCGGAACACTTTGGAGGGGGTATCTGTAGGCATCGAAAATTGCCTATAGGTCTCCACAAACGGTTCAGCGTTAACGAGCTACGATGAACATCACCATCCGATTCACATGAGCCTAATCGACGTCGACGAACGACTGAAGTGAATCGACGAGCTACATGAGCGGATAGGACTTCTGAACAACGAAGACCCGGACCAATCGGGAACCCGGCGGTGTTCACAAAAAGGACAACGCCCTTCGTGCCTCGACCACTCTACAGATAATCCAACCACCAGAGCGGATCGAACTCTTCGTCAGGCATCCAACGCACCCGGAATCACTCAAATCCGAGTTCGGACGAAGAATCTACGGGGAAAACAACTCAAACACCTCAACGGGTCTCCGGAATTCCAAAACACCCCCAGGGGTGTCTCAGAAATTCCGAGACACCCCAGGGACAGAGCCTTCATCACCCGTTCCCCCTGATCCTTAGTATTAGCCTTTAGCGTTAATACTAAGAAGAGCTAATACCTCGCTTTAGCCGAGGTATACGCTTATAGCTTCTAGATCTCACGCGGATCGACGAAGCTCTGCCCGATATTTCTGGATTAGAAGTTTCTAGATCTCACGCGGATCAACGAAACTCTGTCCGATTTTTCTGGATCAGATCTGAGTGCCCCGGTGGTCCACGGATATCAACATCCCCGTCACAGGCAAAAGACCCACGCAAGCAAGAGATGACAAACAGATCTTGCGTTTGTTTGAAAGGAGTTGTATTTCTTTTGTTTTCATTGTGCACCGGTCTTATAAAAAGACTATCTTTTTGTTTCATTGTAACGATTGAAGTTGTAATGAATGCAGCAATGAATACAGCAATTTTTTCCACAAACACTTAGTACTTCTCTATGATCATCCCCTCTAAACATTTTCATATATGAAAACGATAACTACATACTTGTTAGCTCTACCTCATTGATTGTAAACTTTCTGCAATTCCAGCTTATTCTCCCAAAATTTCTTACTTTCAATCAATTATTTTCTCTAACTAATTATAAAGATCTAATTTACAACTTGTCATCTGTTTACTTTTAAGATGGCAAATTGGCAATATGAGAAAACCTTTCAGACTTCAATGTAGTTTATAGTCCCTTATCCAGGACATGCCATTGTAAGTTATCCTTTCATAACATTAAGATATTTGTATCCTCATATAGGCTTAGGTTTTAAAAACAACCCTATTGGACCTTAAGTATTACTGACAATTTCAGTTTCATTTTTTTTATTTACACCACCTGTTTTGATCAGGTTGACTCCTAATCTTCACAATATCATTATCAAGCAAATTATTTTAGGTCCTCGCTATGCACTTGAGCATCCAGATAATTTGGAACGTGTTCCGCATTAGGATAAATCCTAATTTGAAGGACTTGATTCAATTAAACTGGATATACTTCGATATTAAGCCAAGAAATAGCACTCATTACTTGAATTTACAGCAACTTGCGTGTGCTGCTGGATCTTGTTTATTTAGACCCAACATACACATATTAGCAGCACTTATAGTTGTTTCTACTTTAAACAGCTCTGAATAACTTCATTGGTTTCTTTTGTCTAGATGTGTGTAAAAATGTGCACTTACGTGTGAACTGATGGTGTGGTTTCTGATGATGTAAATCTTGACAGGTGCTGTTTATGGGACCTATGAGGCTATCAGATATAAGGTAATGCTCTTATATTTAAGCCTTATGAGCTATTAAGTTTGTAGTCTTATGAAACAACCACTATTTTTGGTTCTGTGTGCATTATCTGCTTATATTTAGTTTCTTCTAGCTCCGTAGATTGGTTCATCCTATTTGAGTTTGAAGCTGGTACTATATCACAATTATGGGGATATCTAAAAAGACTAAAATGCAGTGCATCATTCGAGCAAACATTTTGCATTCAAATAAGATACTTGTTGTCATTTTTCTGAGGTATCTAATCTCGTTGGTAGTAGGTTTATGCAAAATTTGGCTGTCAGTCCAATATCCAATTTTCCCACATACCTAGAATTCTGGCTTCTTATCAGCTATCTAGTTTATGCCTACATGACTTGTATATGGGAGCATTATTAACCAACTAATCATTCCATCCAAGCCATATATGAGCATTATAAACCAGTTAATCATGCCAGCTAAACCATATATCCGTGTATATTTCTCATACATATTTAGTAAAGGTTCTGGTTTAGGAGATCATTGGCAAAGAAGTGTCAATTACATACCAATGTAATTGATCATGTTCAATGACATTGTCAGGTATTAGCCATGATACTTTCATGCAGGAAGTAATTGTACCAGAAGTTAGCTATACAATCAAGATTTGTACTCTTAGAATGTTGAATTTAGTATAAAATCTCCTGTGCTACCAATATGGTTAATGATGTAGAATCTATATTACCTGAATACTTTTATCATGAAGCCGTACCCGTACATGACACTTCCCGTATCCAACTCTTCTTGGATGCTCCTTAGATATGTGCATACATGATACATCTATTAGATGTGTACTCAATTATACAATACATGTGTTAATTCAAAACGCTTGTAATACACTTCTTGGGCACATATCCTATACTTTACATATATTTCTGAGATTTATTGGACAATGGTCAAGTTCATTTCAGCCTTAAAAACTATGATTTCAAAGGGATGTTTGCTTACCTAGCTTACAACTATGATTACAGCTCCTGTGTTTTAGCCGTGTTTCCATGCCTACTTTTTACAAATTAGCCGTGTCCCAAACCCGTACCGAGCAACTTAGTTAGCATCTACCAAGCAAGATTATGTGGAAGAACCATTCTAGGATATTAAGCATCTGCATTCTTAATTTGTTGCAT